CCTCTGCCAGCTGCTGCCGCCTCTTCTGTGGTGATCTGAATTTATGCACTGAGAAATCAAAAGTGAGCATCAAACTAAGTTTTCGTCGTGAATCGCTGAGCATAAGCGCTCTACGAAAAAATTTTTGATTTGATATTTAATAATTTCTAAGAAATTTTCAGATAACTTTCGCTCCCTCTGGGTTCCTATAGTCACCAAAAATCATAAAAATGGAAAATGAAAGCGACCTGTGTTGGTTAACATTTCCGGGATGCGCCGTGCATTCTGCTCCGTGCATGTGTCCAACCAGCGTTCGTTTTAACGCTCATTCTATACTACATTCACTGTTTCGCTCAACCTGGTGAAGATGGCAACATATGTATAGCTGTCATGGGATAGGGAGGAATGGACAGAAGAAATAAGAAGTGATGGGACTTCATGTAAGGGGTTACTCAATCCCAACCCCATCCAATGATGGTGGCTCTTCAACCATATTGCGTAAAACAGCAAGATGGCAGGGATTCGCCCTTGAATTTTCGTTGTGTAATCAGCTTAGGCTCAAGTAAAGCTATCGTAAACTCTCGGCGATATATTTTTCCGATTGATGTGATGGTCACCACGTCCGATCTTTGATACTTTTCCAGGAATCCCGTCATCTGTTTCGCTTCACCGCTTTTTTGATCATTGGAAATGAAATGAGATAGCCAAGATTATGTGGCCGATTATACCTTCGCATTGTAAAGCCCAATGAAATTTATTGGATGACAATCGCTTCAGTCAGAGGTTGTAAGAATATCATATTAAATAGAAAAAGAATATCAATATTATCGATCGGTGTAAGCCCACAAATTTGACCTGGGGGTCTTGCTTGAAAATATTCAGAACGCTTAAAACGGTCAAAAATCGCTTAGCACCAAACATAATATCGATATTTCTCAAAAAAAAACCTGGTGTTACGATTAAGATTACAGCTTTGGGGTCCTGTTCAGAACACGAATCATGATAAATTGACAGGTAGTTTTATAAGAACAGAAACTAAGCATTGATGTTACCAAACCAAAAAAACCAAAAGGCCGAAGTTTTTCAAGTTTAATTAATTAGTTTAATTAGAAATATTAGTTTCATTTTATTTAGTTTAGTTTACGTTGGCCAGGTACTTAAGTGATGGGATGTGTTGATATAATAAATGAAATCGGGTATTTTCTCAAAAAATACTTCGTCACTTGAGAAGTAAATTAATTTAATCAGCGTACAAAATGGATTATCTGGAACGCTGAAGATTATTGAAATTAATTCTGAAGAGAGACTACGGGTCTCATCTGCTTTTGGACAGAGATTGAAAAGGTAGGCGCTCGAATTCCAGTGCGCAGTAGAACAATCCATAGGCTTTTTCTTGAAGCCTCATTTTCCAGAAAATGCAACGATCGAAATTTCAAATCCGCTCTCAATTTACCAACGACGTTATTCAGGAGCATAAAAAGCAGTCGTTCAGGTAATGGCAACATTCGGGATAAAATAACTGTGAAACAGCGCTCACGAATGGAGCTATAGTTGGGGGGGGGGGTGATCTTTAAGAGAGAAGGAAGCGAGTGAGCAATTGAACCCCCCTGATTACGCCCTAAATAAGGAGTTCTTCTCTCCTCTACTTCAGCCTCAGTCTACCTTGGGATAGAGAAGGGGCGTGTTGGACGAGTTTCATGACCCTAACTCCAATTGCTCCAGTGCCAATGACAATGTGCCTCAATGGAACCGCTGCCTCATACATATGCGCCTGCGGTTTCCAAGTAGCGCTAGGTGACAACCTGCGGAAGGCGGGGCTTGCGGACTAAGGAGTGGATTGCGGGTCGAGCAAGCTGATAGCGCCCTTGTCGGCGCACTTCAAGCCGCAAAAGGGCGCAAACAATCACCACCCTTGTCGCCCTACCAACTAGGCTCGGGTATGGAACAAGTGGATGAGTCTAATCCCGGAGCGTGCCTTCAAAAGAAACGATGAAGTTTTGAATTTATAGAGAAGTTTCATAGGGTTAGGTTGCCCATGAGAGGGGTCCTGTAGCTCATCTTCATCTAGGAACGCTATACTGATGAGAAACTACGAATCGTCAAACTATCGCTGTTCGTCTGCTCATATACACAGTACCAGCTCGCTGAGCCCAACAACTTTCTGCTCAAAACCTCCAGAGTTGGAATTGAAAATTGCGTGACTCTGCTCGATTCAATGGAGTTTATGCGACGAGGAAAGGAAATTCATTTTAAAATGCAATATTTGATTAGCATCTGGGGATCTTCAGTTAGCAATTATTGAGCTGTCCCAGAATTCGCGCATGACCGATCCTTGAGAAGTCGAATTCGTTCATATCTTCTTGAGGAGTTTACTAACTCTACCTAACTTATTCTGTTTTGAGTAGTACACATTCTAACTCGAAAGGGAGTTATGCGCTAAAAATTCAAACCTCCCAGGTGGACTTCCCGGCTAACCAAGACCACGGCCATGAAGATACCCTAGTTTTCGATGGATTAGAGGCAGCCTCCTGAACCCATGCGGGTGTCGCCCTCTCAAAAGGCGCAGTGCAACGTTCTCAGAAGTTGCTTGCTTGCAATCGCTCAGCTGTTTGTCGTAATCACTTCTATTTGCTCGGGGCCTCACTGTTTTCCCTCAATCCTCGGTGTGTCTTTTTGACGTCTAGCGGCAGCTCACCCGCACAGCAACCGAGTTTGAAACCACGAAAACCAGTCCATATGTAAACACAGTCGAAATCAAACTTGATTCAGGACGTCCTGCTGCCGATTGAAGGATTTGAGTGGTACTCTTGTGATAGCGAAACGTAAGCAGAGGATAGAGCCTTGAATTCAGTGGAACAGCACTGGGTCTATTGGTGCTGAACAGGAACAGGCTTTGCACTATAAAGTGTGGCGCATTTGCTCAAACGAAACAAGACGATGTGAAGTCTTCTGAATCTGCAATGCAAAAATTAGTTATTTCTGTTAAATTGATATATATTTATTGACTAGTTATTTGTTTATTTGTAATACAAATTTTATTGAATATCCTTACAAACATTGCAAGGCTACAGTTATACTATTTATAATATTTGCGGACGATGGGTGAGGCTTACCTTGAAATTGTCGCTTTTACCCCAAATAGAGCCATCAAAGCCACATATGGCCGCCTTGCTGACATTACCGGAGCCGACGAGGTTGTTGTTGACGAGATCCGCCCAAGACATCTGAAAATAGATTTTAAAAGATTTTCCAACACCTTCGTTAACGATCATATTGACGAAAGTGCTGACGAAATGTATGATGAGCTCTTCGAAGAACCACGGACGCTGTAATGCTGACACACCCGTCTACCACTTCAACAGCAAGAATATAGGGTTCTCAGAAAACAGTGAAACCCTTAGATCAATGTCAAAAATGATCTTTTCTTCCTGTTCTTTTGTTCTCAATTTTCGGCGTTCATGTTCCTGGGGGGAGGGGGAGGGAGGAAATTCAAGACGGTGTACGGTAGGTGACCCTAGGACTAAGTTTAGGTGGAGAGAGAAACGCCGGGGCACAGATTGGTCACATCCCCCCTAGAAGCCCTCCCGCTCTCTAATGTTCAAACCCAAGCAGGCTAAAAGTAATTGGCTCACTCACCTAATGTCCTACCCCCACTTCTCTCGTGGACATGAGCACCTAATTTTCTTACTCCCTCTTCCTGATTTCCTTCGGCATCACATTTTACCCAAAAAATCACCCATGTTCACGCAGCTCAAACTGCAAAAAAGCCGCTGAAACATGTAGGTGTCACCAGAATGCGCAGCATCAGTACCTCCTTTGAAAACGTCCAGTGGACTGGAAGACTCCGGGTTGTATGAGGTGAACTGTTGGTGCCAGAAAACTTCCCTCTTGAAAACAGATCAGCACCCTCAACACACGTTCCTAGAAATGACAAGCGCTAAGTATTTGAGCTAAAGCGGACTGCTAGCATCCGGCTTGTCAACTTGACGCACTTCTAGCACTTGCCGACGATCAAGTGGAAACGCCTCGCAGTGTTTACGGCAGATCAGGGTACGTCATACCCTTAAGGTAGTATTACGCCGCTACGACCCCTTCCTTCCTCCAGTCCCCCGTTGAAAATTTGAGGATTCTCCAAATTTTCGTAACCTTTACAAGATCAAACAAAGGTGTGCCGCGATTGTTGGGATCATGGTTTGTACCCTTGGCAAAAATAGGTAAAGTAACTCGTGTTAAATGATCAGAAAACTACAAGAATCGAAAACAGTAAGCTAGTGAAGCCTTTAAAAAAGTAATGACGAGTGAAGATGAGGTAGACGTGAATTTTAAATGAATGGCGTACTAAATGAACTGAGTTTGAAAGCAACAGAAAAATCGACAAAGCAGGCAGGTGGCAGGAAGCGCTTCAAGAAGAAAGAATTAGAGTCTATAGCTCTCAAGCGTACCATCAGCCAAGCGATTAAAGCATATCAGACCAGAAGTTATTGAGGTTATCAAAATTTGATTCGCCACGTAATAAAGTTGAAAAATAGAATTACATGTGATCACAGTGGGGCGCTGTCGTAACTTATGGAGGAGAGGACTACGCCTAAAAAAGGCAGGAACTCGTAGAAAAATAAAAATGGCCCATGCACCCTGGAGTCCCTCCTCCTCCACCCAAGGCTTAGTCCCCTTTTCAGCGAAAAGGACATGCTTAACGCAGTTTACTGCACTGCTACCACAATGCCCCTGTATCTTGCGATAGCGCCCAAAATTGCTATATTTACTGAATTTTTTTCAGCTTCACAATTCACTGTCGACTACTGACTCATCGCGTTAAACATGCGAGTCTTAATAAGCTAAGGAAAATACATTATAACTGAAGCTTGGGTAAAATGGTGCCCCGGTAGTGTACTCGGTAGCGTCGTTGCCTGGTAAGCGAGAGTGCAGATGTGAATCCCACCTGAGGCGCAGTGTCTTGTCACTTAGCATCCTTGTGATATCTGTTGGGTTACGTGGAAAAATCAGGCCTATGGCAATAATTGCAAGTGTTTCAAATGAGAAAAAAAACACTTTCGCTCGAAAAATCTCAATTCAAACGTTCCTGTTCGGATAGTATAGTGGGGAGCTGTAAAAAAGAGCCGTTGAAAAGAGAAGCGAGCTTTATTGAAACTTCAATATGAATCTCGTCACTATCACTCTTTTACTATGACATTGTGGATTTCGCTGAGAGAAAGGAAGACTAAAACGTACAGACCCACAAATTTTGCTAATGTCTCTGCTTAGAAATGCAATTACTTAAATTTATGGGGGCTAACCTATCAAGTGGAACGTTTTCTTGGATTCGTATCCGTGGACTTACGTACTCGAGAATGTTAAAACAAGATCTCCATCACCAACGCAGGGCATTTTGATGTAGGCACCCACTGCATTCAAAACTTCGGCAGATCTTCTAATAATAAAAGCGTTTGGGAAACCAACCCTAGCCTTTTCCGCAGTAGAGGATTGAACCACCACTACCACAGTCCCTTGCAACTCAAATTAGAGTTACCAAAATTACATTACAGAGTATCACAAAACATAGCACCGGAATTATACTGCGTTATATGACGCAGACATTAAAA